AAAAAAATTGGCTATTTCAATTTGCAATAGCAAGCTGGCTATTGCACCCGCCCTCTGCTGCTGTCAGTCAGCAGAGGTGGACCTGATGGAGAACTTCAGGTCCACCTCTGCTGATTGACAGCAGCAGTGGGCAGGTGCAATAGATAGTCTGCTATTGGCTATCTAATAGCGGGAGACTCCCAGAACATCCGGGAGAGTTGAGATGTCTGCTGTCATAGATATATAATATCACTTTCTGTGACAGGAACATGCCCCCAACATCTATAGTCACATGAGCAACTTGGTCATCTTAATCCAATCACCTTGGAATGTGGCAATGCAGGTGTTGATTGTACAAGAACAAGATGGTTGGTGTGAAAGATGTGGAGGTTTCACAAATCAAACCAACATAGGGAAAAAGCCGCACACCACTCACTGTCTTCACTGTAGGAACATTATTCACATTCAAACAACCCGCAAATATTCAATTTTCACCCATAAACCGTCCACCTTTCACATGGTGCATACTCATGGTCTTATTCATGGAGGCCAGATAGGTTTCACAAACTTTCATACCTCCCACTTTTGGATTGCTCGTGAGACACCATGTGGCTATATACACTGGGCTGTGTTTCTAACATTCATTAGAACTGAAGAAGGTCCTCGGAGGAGTGGAAAAACATCTTCCAACATTACAGAACAAGCCTTCGTAAACAAAACTGACTAAATACTGCTAGCCTTAACATGACCTGAATAAATGGGAACCTTCACAAACGTATATATACTGTATATATGTACATAATATATAATATACACCAATGAACCAATCTACACGAGTCAGTTCACACTTAAACCCTGGTAGCCTCATCTGATTGCAAACTGGCAAAGCTGTTGACTAGTGTGTAGCGTTATTAATAACCATGCAAACTTAAAGTGAAATGGCTCTTCAGCTATCATAATGAGTAGTCCATCTGCTTACCGTACAAAGAAGCAAATCACCAGCACTCAATAATGAAGATGACTATGTCCTTTTAATGGACAAGACGTCACAGTGATCCAAAAAAAGCCGACGTTTCGGGCCAGAAAGACATGTCACGTCTTTCTGCCTTGAGGAAGGGACCCTGCGCGGCCCAGAAACGTCGGCTTTTTTTTTTATCACTGTGACGTCTTGTCCATTAAAAGGACATATTCATCTTCATTATTGAGTGCTGGTGATTTGCTTCTTTGTTCTGTGTTTGCACGGCGCCATCCATGGTTATCATTTCAAGCACCACTTTACTTATTGGCCGGGACTGCTGTGAGGTGTGCTGAGAGCTCCTTCATCGATCTACATCTGCTTACCGTAATGTCCCAGTCACATTCACCTCAGACTTGGTTCTTTTCTCTGGTTGTTCAGAAAATTTAGTTTAGTTTATTTAAAATAGATAAAAGGTTTTGTTGCACAGGGCAATATGGGAAGGAGGGTGAGGTACGGGTCAAGATATCCCACAGTACACTGGATTTCATTAACTGAACTAGGCCTCTTGAACTTACAATAAAGTCTCTGGATGTCATCCCTCTAATCACAGACTGTGCTGGCGGGTTTCTATCAGAGCTCAGGCTCACTGGCAATTGAGGATCTAGTGCAGGGGTAGCCAAACTCCGGCCTTCCATCTGTGGTGAAACTACAAATCTCATGATGCATCTCTCTCCGGGAGTCATGTCTGTGAGACTCTTGCAACGCCTCATGGGATTTGTAGTTCCATCACAGCTGGAGGGCCGGAGTTTGGCTACCCCTGATCTAGTGGTATCTCAATCTTCACTTCCAAGGCAGGCAAACATAGGAAGGTTCCTATGTATAACTTCCCACTCAACCATGACTCACCACATCTCTATATGTGGTAGGACAGACTGAGCTGGTTTCCTCTAGTGGTTCTCAACTGGTGTAACCTCAGGACCCACATTTGTCCTTGGTCATTAAGTCACGACCCAAGTCGCACAGCAATGGAATTCACAGCATTGCAGTACTGGGCGTTCAGGTGCAGGCGATCAGACTGTGGGCAGGAGGTGCGTTTGGGGTGCCATTCAAATGAATGGCAACACAACACACCGATTGAGTGGTACAGTGCATTAATCGCATGGGACTGTGCAATTAATGCTCTGTACTAGTGTGAATGGACCCTCAAAAACACTGACAGACACACACAACCACAGACACAATCTCATACACACTCCAAAAAAAATTATGTATATTTTTTATTTTTTAATATCCACCCAGTCTCTCTACCTTATGAGTACTGGAGTGGATCCTCAGCCTGGGGTCCAGTTTGGGCTGCTGTGCTGTGATGGAGCTCCAACCATATGTGCATTGCTTGTACAGCTCCCTTGTGTGCCCTGGGAACATGCGGGAGCTGTAAGAAATGCACATATGGATGGAGCTCCCTTTTGACCATACTTCCAGGCCACCCCACATCAAGTTAACAAGCAGGGCCAGGCAGCATATTTTGAATGGCTGCTCGGCGCGTGAACTGGCAGTGCTGCGCTAGGGAGAGGCTGAGGAGTGTCACACCCAGACAAGTGTAAGACATGTGGCGACTCACTGAACATGGGAAGCAAAACAGATGACAAATGCACTCATCAATTCGTCACCAGCTTTACAGTAAGGTGCACACGGAATGGGCTTTAAACAGTAAAATAGCAAAAGGTTTTCCTGGCACACTCACAAGCTAGCATGTAAAAAAAACTTGTGTCACTCTAAGGTTAAAAACAGGTTTGGATACACGTCTTCTGCAGAAAATGTGAAAGCCGCACAGCCGCGCCAAGGCACCTCTTATAGTGCAGTCCTAACTCTAAACTATCAGAGAGCACATGGGGCAGAAGATAAAATTTAGTGCAGGTTTGTCAGGAGGCGCGGCTGTGCGGCTTTCACATTTTCTGCAGAAGACGTGTATCCAAACCTCTGTTTTTAACCTTAGTGTGATACAAGTTTTTTTTACATGCTAGCTTGTGAGTGTGCCAGGAAAACTTTTTGCTATTCCACTGAACATGGGGTTGCGACCCTGTTCTGTTGGTCTATATAAAGTGGTGTGATCTTGAACACTGTGTCATCCCTGAGCCTGATGAAGGGGACCCTGCGTGGCCATGAAAGCGCTAGTTTTGGTGACATGACGTTCCAATAAACGAACTCTTTGGACTGCAATACTGGTGGTGTGCTTGTGACATTTATTCATCTTTATACGGTGTGGCGGCGCCATCCACAAGGCTCTAGGCCATATACTTTTGTCTTTCAGCAGCCATCACCTTCAGGGCTTCCTCCCAAGATGAGAGTTCCCTGTTTCCTTCCATGTGCCTATCCCCAAGGCCTAGGATCTGATCAAGTGGACATCTTTACAGGGCAAATACCCAGGAGGGAAGGGAGAGAATAGGAAGTTTCTCACATATTATAGTTTGCACCGAGGCACCCTAAAATATAAGTAGAACATTATGGCAACAGACTACCACTCTCCTACAATGTAGCTAATGGGAATGGCACACAGTCCTTACCTAACAGCAGAATCTCCAGAAATATAGAAAGGCCAGCCTGTTCCTATATGCTGAGTTTTATATAGGTGCACATTGTTTGTGATACACATTTAAGTTGATAAAGCGGTTTTCACGTTGAAACGCTGTTTTTTTTTCACCTCCAACACTGCTGGGTGTCGGGGTTTGCTTGCAACTTGGTGTTGTTATATTCCTTTGCTGTATATAAATTTATATGTATGGGTTTGTTATCCCCTACTCTGTCCTGTGTTTTGCTTATCAACTCGGACTACTATTAGATAGGTTACCATTGTATAGTTTTGTGGCCATTGTGGTGGGATTCCTTATACATACTACGTGCTGTAATGTGTTTTTGTGATATTATGACGTTTTCAATACAAAATTATTTTCTTAAACTTGATTTGGGGTTTGCTTAAGGAAACCCCATGTATTTGTTACAATAGGTGGTTTAATACATGGTTAAGGGTCTCCTAATTTTTTACCAGCTGCAAACTTACTTTACCTGGTGACCGGCTGCTTCAGACAGTGGCATAATGAGGTTACCTGCCAACATGCCAATAAAGGTACACATGGCAGTCAAGTAACACAAATCCCTTATTATCCATGAGCATCTGCTTCAAGTGGATTCATTAGCTCATTGAGGAATGGTCACACACAGCTCCTAATTTTTCTGACTCAATAAACAGTATTTTCTTCTCTAAAAGGGTTGTTTTTCTAGAACTGCACAGGGTCATGCTATGTGGCCAGTTTAGATACATATAAGAAAGAAAACGCCTGACAGCAGATTTCCTAGCAATGATAATAAGAAAATAGACAAATACAACATACCCAAGTAAACAGCTTAGTAACTTCAATCTGCAAGGGCAGCAAAACTGTTTTTTTTTTCCCTTAAAGAAAAGACATCTTGCATTTCAAACCTGCTGCAGATTACATATTTCCTCGGAAGATTGCATAAATCTGTCACTATTTTATCTTCAAAAACTGTATCATCCAAAAAAGCACAAAAAAAAATCTTGAAGCATAAAGATCACAAACTCTATAAGCTCACTGATATTAACTGCTACCGTTGAACTCCAGAAACATAAAGCATGCAAAAAAAAAAAGAACTTTCTGTCAGTTTTATTATGTCTCCAAAGGTTCCCCTTGAAAGACAAGAGTGACCTTGATATGCTGAGTTGGCACATGCCAGTGAATTAATGGCAGGACGTCGCTGGAGGGAGGCTCGCAGAAACAAAACAGCGCCAAGGGCTGTGTTCTGCTCTGATCATTAACTAGATGAATCAAAGTGATACATCAAATAAACTAATCTGGCGCTGGCCTTTTTACTTTGGGTAGGACCTCGGATACAGGGAACTGCACTGTTTTCAGCATCTTAAAACACAAAGTGCTGCAAAATAAGGCTAGGGCGAGAGTCTAATCCCCAGAAGTCGCGGGGAATTTTTCTTCCCCTCCTCTGCCCTGCTTCTTGCAATGTGTGCCAAGTTTGATAGCTTGCTGACACATCAAAAGCTACTTCTGTCTTTTTAGAAGCCAGCAGGAATAGAGATGGAAGCAAGTCTGACAGTGGTAAAGATAATGAGGCCAGATTAGCCCCTTCTGCCTTTGTGTGTCATGTCTTAGCATTGCTGTCACATGGGTGGGTGGCATTGCGAGAATGAGCAGGGTGGGTAACCTGACATACAGCAGTTTCAAAATATAACCAAAGAGACACTTTAAGAGACAGTAGCATAACGCAGCTGAGTAAAAGCATGTCCCTTAAAGTACAACTTAAAGAAGGACTCCGGGAATTTAAAAAAACCTACCCTTGCAGTGGGGCTACTACCACCGCAGCTCAGGGGTTAAGTGCTCGTTTGTCTAGGGGGCTCAAATAAAGCAGATTTACTTACATGATCCTCAGTCCCATAGCAGTCAGTGTTCCCTTCTCTCTCCCTCCGTTCCAGCTGTGGAATGGCATCCTATTGTCTAATGCAAGTCAATGGATCTGCATCAGATGTGTTGACATTAGCGGTCCTTAAGCCGTAGGAACCCGGGGCAGAAGAGTCTGCAAAGACCGGTCAAGCAGCCCGGCGGCACTTAGGCCTCATTAACTTGAGAAAAATCCGGCACACACAGCTCCTTGCTGCGTGTGCGGCCGTATTGGACAGCTCCCGGGAAGGACAGGTGCTGCGTGTGATTAGTGCACAGCCCCTGTCCTTTTCTATGGGAGTACGTGGCTGTACGCCGCCCTATGCTCACCCGCCCTGCACGTCCTTGTGGGTGCGAGTGTCCGTACTCGTACACTGACAGGATGGATCCTGTCTACATCCGAGTCGGGACACGCGCACCCGTATGGACCTGCACTTGGGGTGAGCGTAGGGTGGGTGACATCAGGTAAGTATAAAATAAGCACTTAAAGAAGTACATCGGGCTTTTATTAACCCGTGCAGAGGGGCTACCCCTAAACTGCAAGGGTTAATAAAAGCTTGATGTACTTCTTTAGACTTGAAGAGAAAATAAAACCATGTCCCAATTCTCTTTTATTTTAAATCAGTGTGCACTACAGTGATTTATTATTTTTCTCCATTTAGCGTACCAGCAGTTTTGGAACCTTTGACCGCTTCAAGAAACCTTCCATTTCCAAACCAGAAGAGCTCAATGAGGTCTGTGCCTTATGGTGTTTCCAGCACCCTGCGCTATAACATATTATTTGTCTTTAGATTTTTATAAGCACAGTTATTGGGTAGGTTATTCTGTGTGCGTTGTTTTCTTTTCTTTTTGCTTTTATTGTAGTATATCAGCTGATCACTCCAGTGTTTGCAAATAACTGGGGGCACATAGTACTATGTGTCCCCAGTTATGAATGAACAGGAAGTGCTTTACATCACTTCCTGTTCATTCATGATTTTCTGAATGGATACTAGCACTCAGTACAGGGGCTTCTCCCCATTCAGAAACTGATAGTAAATATTTTCTGAATGAATGGGAAGCCTCTGTACTGAGAGCTTTCCAATCATTTAGAACAGATGCTGCAGAAAAAGAGATTGAGGACTCTGTGTCCTCAATTTCTTTTTCTATTTTAAAAGGGAAATATCGGGGGGCTGTTTAGACCCCTAATATTCCCCCGTAGCCCACCCAACAGTAAAAAAATAAATAAATACAATTAAAAAAAATAAATAATAGCAAATAAATAATAAAAATAATAAAAAATAAATAAATAATTTAAAAAACTTCCTGGAGGCAGGGTGCATGATGTCACATGGTGCCGCGCATGTGCGGTGTTGGGTGACATCACACGCCTCTTGGGGTGGCACATTTTTTTGTTCTTGCCTCGCGCGCAAAAGGAGCTAGCTACAGCTCTAGTGCTTGCATTTAAAAATGGATTTAATAATGAATTAATGAATGCAGTGCTGCATTAAATTGTGTTATTTTTACCTGCCTGCAAAGAGCAGTGCTGATGTGATGATGTCAGCATTGCTCTCTTCATCATTGTATGTGAGTGGAGGGTGCCAGGGTGATGCCCCTTTAGAGGGCAGGTCCGTGATATCCTCACTCACAGGATGTTCTCAGTTTTCTGGGCTGAATTACACTAGGTTCCATTTAACTTGGGAGACTGAGGATATCTACTGGCAGAAAGGAATAACTGTGGGGGCCATGCCAGATAGTTGCTGGGGAAAGTTAAATTAAATACATTGTCCAGAGTTAGTCTTTAAGTATAATTGCAATGGATAACATAAAGTTCCTGAAAGAGGAAATGTGTGGTTGATTTTGTTATGTCCCAAACTGTCCCAGCTAATGTGCAATCTTTATATAAACAGATGGGCGATTCAGACAGTATATTTGAAGGAGGAGGACCACCAGACGGTGACAAGGCTTCCAATCATGCTGGAAGTCTGACTAAAAAGATGAAAGCCATATCTCTGACTATGAGGAAAAAGATGGGCAAAAAATACATCAAGGCTCTGTCTGAGGTAAATATTGTTACATATTGCAATGAAATCTTACACAGGTCTTTATACACAGCAATATTCTATGTACAAATAATATATATAATGAATACGCAAAATCCATTTTATAGTTGTAATTGTAGAATAGGCCTCTCCAAGTCTAGATCAGGACACCCAACCTGACTTTTTTCTTTTTTTGTTACATATAAGTTTTTATTGTAACATAGAAAACTTGGTGCAAGGTAAAGCATACAAGTCTGCGGGAATAGGAGGATCATAAGCTGAACTATGTAGCACAGGAGCAGGGGTCAAACATTATAGCAAGAATGTTATCTCTAGTAGTGTAGATACGATACAATAAATGTAGATACGATGCAATCCGTGCATGGATCCCCTCCCAATCAGAGCTGTATGGAGTGGAGATCACTACTGTAACGTGACTGCTGTGACATTCATGTCCGACCTGTTTTTGCCTGGAGGAAAAAACTGAATTACCATACCCCATGGAAATCCCACATACGGGGAATCGGATGTAAACGGACATGTGTTCATTTAATAAGATTACCCCGAAGTCGACATGATCAGGTTCAGCGAAATAGATCTCTGACCGGAGTCGGGGGTAACCTGGTGTAAACCGACGCCGATCCATTTACACACAGCTGCTCATAGACTTACATTGGGCATCTGATTGGGCATTAGAATTGTCCAGAATGTCATTTGGGATTTGGTGCAGACAATATTGTGGACAGCCATGCACATGATCTTGGGGCATTTAAACTAGAAGAAAGCTAAACCAAAATAGGACTTTTAATTAAAAAAATATATATTTTTCACTCTTTTAATGAAGCATTGCATGAGACCCTGGAGATTTTGGTTGAACGCAATACATTTAATTTAAAGATTAAGTGGCATAAAAATAATAAAGGCTAGGAAAACCCTCTACCTATGAATGACCAGCACTGAAAACATTAGGAACGCAGGGTAAGATAATAAAATGGCTGTTTTCTATTTATTTGCCCTGTTGCAGAAAATCTTTCACACTATAGCAGCTGGTCTTATTTCTTTTAAATTGAGTTTACAGTGTCAGTGGCCTGTAATCCAATGAGTTATAATGTATCTGATATTCCTGCTATGTCAGAGCCCAACTTAAATATTGCTCCAATGTATTACAGTATCTGACCAATTAATACTTTAACACTCTCTTATGTATAAAGTTTATAGCTCCCATCAAGGTTAAATTCGGTAATGACTTGCAAAATAAATCACTTGATAAACTGTTATTTTATTACCCTCAATTAACCAGAGGTGTTTTTTTTTTTTTTATCCTCTCTAGAGTGAAGATGGAGATGGGCATTTTGCTATGCGAGATAGTGACCCTACAGGTGGGAACGCTGTTGAGAAGTGCACTTTGCGAGCCAGTGAATCCGTGGAAAGTCTTTATAGCCTAAACAGTGGTCAGAGTTCATCAAGTGAGTATAAAAACACTGTCAGATGGGGAACCATCTAGCAAATAACCTTTTGTGTACAGTTTCGCAAGTGTTTTCTTACAAATGTCTTGCGAGATAGCAGCAGCGACAGATTGCATAGCTTGATATCCTTCCAAACAACATCATTCAGTAGTAAAGTGTCAGGGGGATCAGAAGCAAACCGATATTGATTTGTATACAACATCAGCCAAACAGGTAAACATACAACTGAAACAACTTTATAGGGAAAGGTTTTACCTGCCAAAAGATTTGACTTGTGATGCACCCACTGTGAGTTGCTGATGGCGGACTGAGCCTTCAACACAAAAATAAGCACAAAAAAAAAGCTATGACGTTTATTGTTTGGCAGGTGTGTTCTCAGTGGGAGAGGGTGCCAGGTGGCTAAAATTCCAGAAGAACACATCCTGACAATTTATAAAGCCATGTGAGTTAAAAAATGATCTAATTGGTGGGTACGACAATACAGCCAGTTCTCCTTTCATTCGGTTTGAAAACAAGGTTCTTGGCTACTTGTAGCTATAGATTTTGTTTTATAAGTAAAATCATTTATATTTTGGTTATTTGTTTTATAAAAAACATGTATTTTTGGATTGAAACTGGCACAAGCCAATAAAGCAAATGAGACAAAAAACTGAAAACGAAACAATTTATTTTCAGGTGGTGTTACCAGTTGTTCTGATGGGACTAGCAACAGAGACAGTTTCAGATTTGATGACGATGTTCCTTATACCGGACCGTTTTGTGGTCGAGCAAGAGTTCATACTGACTTTACCCCTAGCCCTTATGACACTGATTCACTAAAAATCAAGGTAATGTACTCTATGGATTTGCTCTTATAGATTAAATAAATATATGTTCAGTTCATTCATCATAATGGCCATTTTGCACATGTGTTTTCCAGAAAGGAGACATTATAGACATTATTTATAAAACACCAATGGGCATTTGGACAGGCATGTTGAATAATAAAATTGGGAATTTCAAATTTATATATGTCGACATCATTTTCGAAGAGGAAACTCCTGCCCCAAGGAAGATAGTGAGAAGGAAAAGTAAGCGGCCAAGGCCCAAAACATTACAGGAACTTCTGGAACGGTTTAATCTACAGGTGAGTGATATCACAGAAACACTTTAATACGATATTGTAAGAACACTCCCCATTGAGATCTTCTGCATCCAGCACCCATCTGGACATAGCCTTACAGGTAACTTATAGCCTAGCCCTCAACTTTCATTGAGTAGGACATGGCAAATTCTCTCAAATTATCTTATTTACTCCCATGGGCATTTTCTTTGCTGTATGTGTCCTGTTGGGAAAATGTCCCACTTTCTATCCCCAAAACACAACAGGGGGTAGGAGGAGGTCTCTCCTATTGGACAATTCCCCCTCTATTGCTGTTCCATTAAACTGTAAAATTGTGGACTTGCCATCATTTTTTTGTCCCAATGACATTGGTTTTCAGTACAAATAGGGATAGTGAATATCCCCAATGAACTACTTATTTCCAATTTTAAAAAAAATGTATACTTTTTTAGATAAACTTTAGGCAATAATCTGAATAATAATAATGTTATGCAGACTTACTTTTAAAAGATTTATATTTGCCCCTTTAACTTGCCCTGTCTCATTCTTCAGCTTGCGAGTGTGTTGATGCACATTTGTTCATGAGCTACCATTGCCATCAATAGGCTTTTAATACATCAAAAAATAACCAATGTATGTTGCACAGATGTAAACTAGCACCATTCAAAACAATGTCTAGCCGATGTACATATGGCGATGTGCGCCAAACAGTGTATCTTAAAACGTGAATGAGCCTTTAGTGTTCACATCGCTATTAAATAACATATTCCCATTGTTAGTGTATGTTTGAACCCTATCGATGAACTTCAATTATTTGCTCCCTTTTGTCAAAATTTCCCATTAAAGGAGAACTATGGGGTAAGTGTCTTTCCCCATAGTTCTCTCAAGGGTCACGGGAGGACATATACTAGCGTCCTCCCGTGACCCAAAGCTCAGTATATCGTGAGCTACAGCTCGCGGTATACCCAGACTGCAGCAGCCGGGACGGATCCCGGCGTTACTGTCGAGATCCACCCAGCTGCGTGATTGACAGTTGGCTCTGCCTATCTAGAGGCAGAGCCAGTTTCACCCACCCCCTTCCCTATCCGTTCCTCCACTCAGGGCTGTAGGATTGGAGTGGGGAGGGGGGAATCCCAGCAGGGAGCCGTGAGTGAAAGTCACAGCTCTCTGCAGGGAGATGATCGAGAAGTGAACGATCGACGGTATGTGTTCGCTCACTTCCCGATCTATTGAGCCGAAGTTTGACAGTTTAATTGTCACACGTCGGCTCGAACTATGAGGTTGAGTGAAAATCACTTACCTCATAGTTCTCCTTTAAAAGCATTTTGTTATATATGTTCAATAACATCAAAAACATACCTTTTGATCTTGCCAGAAATTCAGAACTCTCCTATGTCCTGTGCAAACTTCCTGTATCATCTCAAGGAGCCTGAATAGTCCTCTAAGTTCCAATACTGGGGCTGCAGAACAATATAAACAATTCATTCTCATGTTGTTGAAAATAGGATGGGGGACGGTTTAAGCAGTTTAGCAAAAGACAACTGGGCAGGGCTGACACCACTCAGTTTACAAAAATGCTGTGATTTGTCAGCCCACAACAGGAATTAGCTGCTGAGTGCATTTCCGGCACATCAGCAGGTATGTTTCTGTACTTTAAAGAGATGAAAGATGGGTAAGTGTGCATGCATTGCAGAGATGTACTGCATTTGTTTATGATTTTGCCCTGACCAACAGTTTAAGAGGAATGTAAAAAAAAAAATGACAGGGCTCTGTTACTTAATGCTGCTATGCATTCTTAAGAGACCAGATGTGAAGTCAGGCATTTCACAGGGTATCAATGGTCTCTGACCCCCTGACTTAAACTGATGGAACAAACTTAGGCAAGGTAAGTAGGTGAAGTAAGGGGACAAATCTAAATATTTCACAAGTCAGCCTACACAATTATATTAATGGAAGGCAGAATATTCAGATGCTCGCCTTGGCCCAGTTGTTATTTGTTCTCCTTAATCTTTCATTTCTTTTAAGGTTCGCTTATCTGAGCCATAGCGAAGCAAAACCATTAACACTCAAATTGTATATTTCTATTTCTTTGGCATTAAGAGCAACATGAAAGCTCTCAGCATGCAAAAATGATTGTCTTGAACTTTTGAAATAATGTCATGCTGCCCTGCTTTCCAGGAATACATGTCTAGCCTGCTACTGAATGGATATGAGACACTAGAAGATCTGAAGGACATAAAGGAAAGCCACCTGTGTGAGCTGAATATCACAAACCCTGAAGAAAGAATGAGGTTACTGGTCGCCATAGAGAACCTACAAGATCCCGACTGTGAGTGTCGCCGCATACCCTGACATTGCATTGAATACTTTTGTTTGAATGATTCAGTTCAGGCTGGTTGTAGTGTATTGTATGGCAGTATAACTTATGCTGCCCTATATTGGCAGCCTTTATTGGCCGGAAAGCAGCTGCATTCAGACAAGGTGGGGCTTAGGGTTACCACATTGTAGTAAAGCCAAATCAGACCTCTACACCTACATGAAGGCTTCTGACAACCCTCTTTATAAACTGAAGACCCTCTGAGCACAACCTCCGTCATCCTATTATACAGGACGCAATGGCAGTAAAATCACATTCCTGCAACTTATGATGCCCTCCTGAGTCATTAATGAGGAACAGCGTCCTTCTTTTGCTATGGCGTGTGTGGCTACGTAGAGTAGATATAAACCCAATCACTAAAATTTCTTATAATCTTTACCATGATAACGTAATTTCAAAAGCTGCTTTTAAACTCTTTAAATATACAGCTTTCATTAAAAGAATAGTTGGTGATCCTCCCATCAAGGTCCTTGCTCAGTACCTTGTATGGGGTGACAATTGTCTCCCAGCTCCTGCACTGTCACCATGTCACGTGTCCCAGATAGAGACTACAGACATGTGGACACATGGCATGGTTCGCTCTTGTCACTACTAGGAAGCCAATCCAGAAAAAGATGTGCAGCCAATGCTGGAGTGAGTACTTGCAGACAACAAGTGGCTAAAAGTGGGTTGGTCCTAGCATCTCATCCACCTACCTGTAAAGTGGTAGTCTGAGTAGCTTCTGAGTGTAGAAATACAATTTTTAGTTGTGTCTTGAGTTATTTTTACTGTGGTCTATCAGGCAGAACATACGCATGTTCTTTTATGGATTTAATATATATAAGAATGTAATAAAGAATACATATGCAACAATCTTCACAGCAGTACATGGAAAACAAAACTGGCACTTGACTTTGAAAATCTAAACAGGATTAGTAGTTTATAGGTCAGTACTGCCTGGGAGATTCAGGTAATCCTGTGGAAGCAAATGTAAGGACAGCATGAGGGAGACTCATGGGAAAGAAGTGCAGGTTTGCACCCAAAATTGCCAGTTTTAATGTCCTACTACAATAGACATATCTTAAAAGCCCCGCTCCAGGCAGAAAAAACAAAATAATGAAATGCTTGTTAAGGCCATGGGTAGTATACCCATGTAATACTTACCTTATTCCTCACTCTGGTAGACTTCCTCCATTGAAATACATGTACGGAAGCTGTTTTACCTTGTAAAAGATTTGTATTTTTGTCTATCCAGTCTTGAAATATATACCTGCCATATTGTACAGCCTGGTTGGTTACCTTTTCTCTCCAGAAGTTAAATAAAAAAGATGTCGCCTCAGCCTGTGATTGGAACGTGAAGGAACAGCGCCAACTCACCCTCTGCTCACTCTCTTTCTACCCACGTCAGCATGTTCCTTGTAAGCAAATGTGCATGCAGAGGTGACTTGCGGTACCTTCGAATTTGAGTGAGGCATTCCCCAGCCCCACCATGTCAAAGCCCTGCTCCCAGCCCAATGAAGCCCCACCCCCCAACCCGGTCACCAAGCTAGTTTGAGGGAGGAGACCGGGAGGAGCCTCCCTGTCCCTCATTTGTTCGTCACTGCTGAGGCATCGAGATCGATGGCCTCAGTGGGTTTCTTTTCTTTTTTTGATTGGACAGATTGGACCAATGGCGCTTTGCCATTGGTCCAAGCCATCCACAGAGCTCACACCTCTAAAACAGCGTAGAGGCTGTGACAGCTATTGCCTCAGTGAGTTAGGTTACACATGGCAGTGAAGAAGCCCGCTGCTGTGTAATCTGAGTACCTGTCAAAAGCTGGATGCAGCGCCGCCTGTAATTAACAGGCAGCATTCCGTCCATGACAGGTCACACAGTGGGGAGGCTTTCATTGCAACCTGTTACAAGCCAATCTGAATAGAGAAAAAGCTGTCAGCTTCAGACTTGAAGCTGACAGCTTTTTCCTCCATAATACTAGGGCTCTGCCTCACCTGCCTCCCCTGACCGCATGTCCCTGGCATGCAGCACACCTAACTGGGCTTAATGCTGCCTGCCCCTTTGCCAAGTGCCAAGTGCTGCTGTATAGGTCATTACAAAAAGCTGATATTGAGTCAAATCCAGGTACTTACAGGTCTTTATTCCTTAATTGAATACATAACTGCATTAATTTGTGTTTTTTTTTAACTCTGCCTAGAATTTAACAATAAGAGATTTTTCAAAACTCAAAACTAATTATTTACCTTCTTCCATAAGCACAATGTGACATGATCTGACACTGAAATCCCCCAGTGGATCCATCCTTTTCTGTTTGTTCTGCCTGCGCCTGCCACTGTGTTGAAAGATTACCTTCTAAATCTAGACGGACCTACACAACTCCAACAAACAAAGGCAGGGCAAGAAATAATGGGAGGAAGTTCAGTACAACAGTTCATCACATAGGCTCTGTGGAGGTTTTGTCACTCAAAACATCTTTTATAGAATATTTTTCAATAACTATTCCTGGTTTATATTCCATAGCTTCTTATGCCCACTCCCTAGAGGACTAAATCTGGGCCTTGCTACTTGTTCTACAACTTAATTATCTTCCTCAGGACTGGCCCACCTGCCTCCCTTGGAGTGGAGCCCAAAGAGATATTTTTTATAATAAAGTCTAAGCTCGTCTCAAGTCTAGACACAGTTACCTGATTGAAGCTTTTTTTTTTAAATGATTCTGTTGGTGTGACATGTCAGACCCATTGAACATTGTTTCCAGTCCATCTAGAGTACTAAGTCACATTAATATGGCCTCAGCCTTGTTTCTTTAGGAAATTGTAACAGCATATCATTGATCTGTCTGTTTTAACAGGTGGACAAGAGCCTGATAAAGAAGCAGCATCCCTGACACTGAGCCCTGACATTTCCAAAAACAAAAGTGACCTCAACGACTGTCCTCGGGATTCAGGATGCTACATCACATTAGATAACTCAGAAAACAGCAAAGAGGATATTGACTCAGAGAAATTATGTGAAGATGTACAGAAAATCATCATTACGGAGTCCCCCTAATTAGTGGAAACCACCCGGACGAAAACCACCGCTTGTTACACGAAGCATTCAGTGCTTCATAAACATTCAAATTGTACATTAACGGGAAAAGAACTTCATGGTCTTACAGTATTTATTAACAATGTAGAAATATCCATGGACATTCTACAATTTAGACAGCGTTATCTTTGATATTTCAGCAGAATAAGAAGGAGGAGACGATGAAGAGGCATTGACATTCGCAGAGCACTTTTTTTGTCAATTGGAGAATTCTTTTTTGTAAAGGGCTATTTTTATGCAAACAGAACCAATTTTCAGTGGTAGCTTGTCAAGTTTGTAGCCTTATGTTGTACTGTGCAATCATTGTAAATGACCCCATAAATGAGGTCTGTCTTGATCACTGATTGTTACTTTGGGAGTATCTTATTTAAAAGAGCTCTTTGTGAGCACAGTTCTACGACCAACCTATGCTAAGACACATTATCTGATGATTCCTATTAAAGTTCACTTTGTAGTATGATGCAAGGTCTACTTATAAGGTACATGCTC